CACCATCTTTATCCTTCAAAATCCAAGGAAAATGGTCTTTCAAAAAAAAAAATTTGCTCAAATAATTACGAAAATGCGATCCCAAAATATATTGGCCCAATTCGATCCTTAATTGACTTAATCATCGGCGCAGAATAGGATCAATAGACTTTATTATCGGTGGAGAATAGCCTCGAGCCAAATCCGTGATCTGTAGCCTCCAAAATCGAATGATATTGGCATTTCGGAAAAATCGCCCGAAATCCGTGATGGTACCCCTTTGCAGTCTGCCAAAAATGGACCTGGAATAAATCCGCCCAAATTGGCCCTGGATGGACTTAATCGTCGTTGAAGAATAGCCTCAATCCGAATCCACCAACTTTATCTTTCAAAATCCAAGGATAATGGAATTTAAAAAATTTGCTCAAATAATTACGAAAACGCCATCCCAAAATATATTGGCCCAATTTGGTGCTTAATTGACTTAATCATCGGCGCAGAATAGGATCAATTGACTTTATTATCGGTGGAGAATAGCCTCGAGCCGAATCTGTGATCTGTAGACTCCAAAATGAAAGAAAATGGGAATTCGGAAAAATCTCCCGAATTCTGTGATGGTACCCCGTTGGAGTCTGCCAAAAATGGACCCGGAAGAAATCCGACTAAATTTTCCCGGGATGGACTTAATCGTCTTTGAAGAATAGCCTCAGGCCGAATCCACCATCTTTATCCTTCAAAATCCAAGGAAAATGGTCTTTCAAAAAATAATTGCTCAAATAATTACGAAAATGTCATCCCAAAATATATTGGCCCAATTCGGTGCTTAAATGACTTAATCATCGTCACAGGATAGGCTCAATAGACTTTATTATCGGTGGAGAATAACCTCGAGCCAAATCAGTGATTTGTAGCCTCCAATTTTCGAAAGAAAATGGCATTTCGGAAAAATCGCCCGAAATCTGTGATGGTACCCCGTTGGAGTCTGCCAAAAATGGACGCGGATGAAATCTTACTAAATTGGCCCTGGATGGACTTAATCGTCGTTGAAGAATAGCCTCAGGCCGAATCCACCATCTTTATCCTTCAAAATCCAAGGAAAATGGCCTTTCAAAAATAATTGCTCAAATAATTACCAAAATGCAATCCCAAAGTATATTGGCCCAATTCGGTGCTTAATTGACTTAATCATCGGCGCAGAACAGGATCAATAGACTTTATTATCGGTGGAGAATAGCCTCGAGCCTAATCCGTGATCGGTAGACTCCAAAATCGAAAGAAAATGAAATTTCGGAAAAATCGCCTGAGATTTTTGATGGTACCCCTTTGGAGTCTGCCAAAAATGGACCCGGAAGAAATCCGCCCAAATTGGCCCTGGATGGACTTAATCGACGTTAAAGAATAGCCTCAGGTTGAAGCCACCATCTTTATCCTTCAAATTCCAAGGAAAATGGCCTTTCAAAAAAAATTGCTCAAATAATTACGAAAATGTCATCCCACAATATAATGGTGCTTAAATGACTTAATCATCGTCGCAGAATAGCATCAATAGACTTTATTATCGATGGAGAATAACCTCGAGCCGAATCCGAATTCTGTAGACTCCAAAATCGAAAGAAAATTGGAATTCGGAAGAATCGCCCGAAATCTGTGTTGGTATCCGATTGGAGTCTGCCAAAAATGGACCCGGAAGAAATCCGACTAAATTCGCGCGGGATGGACTTAATCGTCGTTGAAGAATAGCCTCAGGCCGAATCCACCATCTTTATCCTTCAAAATCCAAGGAAAATGGTCTTTCAAAAAAAAAAATTTGCTCAAATAATTACGAGAATGCCATCCCAAAATATATTGGCCCAATTCGGTGCTTAATTGACTTAATCATCGGCGCAGAATAGGATCAATAGACTTTATTATCGGTGGAGAATAGCCTCGATCCGAATTCGTGATCTGTAGCCTCCAAAATCGAAAGATATTGGCATTTCGGAAAAATCGCCCGAAATCCGTGATGGTACCCCTTTGGAGTCTGCCAAAAATGGACCTGAAATAAATCCGCCCAAATTGGCCCTGGATGGACTTAATCGTCGTTGAAGAATAGCCTCAAGCCGAATCCACCATCTTTATCTTTCAAAATCCAAGGATAATGGAATTTAAAAAAATGGCTCAAATAATTACGAAAATGCCATCCCAAAATATAATTGCCCAATTCGGTGCTTAATTGACTTAATCATCGGCGCAGAATAGGATCAATTGACTTTATTATCGGTGGAGAATAGTCGCGAGCCGAATCCGTGATTTGTAGACTCCAAAATGAAAGAAAATGGGAATTCGGAAAAATCTCCCGAATTCTGTGATGGTACCCCGTTGGAGTCTGCCAAAAATGGACCCGGAAGAAATCCGACTAAATTTGCCCGGGATGGACTTAATCGTCTTTGAAGAATAGCCTGAGGCCGAATCCACCATCTTTATCCTTCAAAATCCAAGGAAAATGGTCTTTCAAAAAAAAATTGCTCAAATAATTACAAAAATGTCATCCCAAAATAAATTGGCCCAATTCGGTGCTTAAATGACTTAATCATCGTCACAGAATAGGATCAATAGACTTTATTATCGGTGGAGAATAACCTCAAGCCGAATCCGTGATCTGTAGCCTCCAAAATCGAAAGAAAATGGCATTTCGGAAAAATCGCCCGAAATCTGTGATGGTACCCCGTTGGAGTCTGCCAAAAATGGACCCGGATGAAATCTTACTAAATTGCCCCTGGATGGACTTAATCGTCGTTGAAGAATAGCCTCAGGCCGAATCCACCATCTTTATCCTTCAAAATCCAAGGAAAATGGTCTTTAAAAACAATTGCTCAAATAATTACGAAAATGCCATCCCAAAATATATTGGCCCAATTCGGTGCTTAATTGACTTAATCATCGGCGCAGAATAGGATCAATAGACTTTATTATCGGTGGAGAATAGCCTCGAGCCGAATCCGTGATCTGTAGCCTCCAAAATCGAAAAAAATGGCATTTCGGAAAAATCGCTCGAAATCCGTGATGGTACCCCTTTGGAGTCTGCAAAAAATGGACCCGGAATAAATCTGCCCAAATTGGCCCTGGATGGACTTAATCGTCGTTGAAGAATAGCCTCAAGCCGAATCCACCATCTTTATCTTTCAAAATCCAAGGAAAATGGAATTTAAAAAAATTGCTCAAATAATTACGAAAATGCCATCCCAAAATAATTTGGCCCAATTTGGTGCTTAATTGACTTAATCATCGGCGCAGAATAGGATCAATAGACTTTATTATCGGTGGAGAATAGCCTCGAGCTGAATCCGTGATCTGTAGACTCCAAAATCGAAAGAAAATTGGAATTCGGAAAAATCGCCCGAAATCTGTGTTGGTATCCCGTTGGAGTCTGCCAAAAATGGAACCGGAAGAAATCCGACTAAATTTGCCCGGGATGGACTTAATCGTCGTTGAAGAATAGCCTCAGGCCGAATCCACCATCTTTATCCTTCAAAATCCAAGGAAAATGGTCTTTCAAAAAAAAATTGCTCAAATAATTACGAAAATGCCATCCCAAAATATATTGGCCCAATTCGGTGCTTAATTGACTTAATCATCGGTGCAGAATAGGATCAATAGACTTTATTATCGGTGGAGAATAGCCTCGAGCCGAATCCGTGATCTGTAGCCTCCAAAATCGAAAAAAATTGCATTTCGGAAAAATCGCCCGAAATTTGTGATGGTACCCCTTTGAGGTCTGCCAAAAATGGACCCGGAAGAAATCCACCCAAATTGGTCCTGGATGGACTTAATCCTCGTAGAAGAATAGCCTCAGGCCGAATCCACCATCTTTATCCTTCAAAATCCAAGGAAAATGGACTTTAAAAAAAATTGCTCAAATAATTACGAAAATGTCATCCCAAAATATATTGGCCCAATTCGATGCTTAATTGACTTAATCACTTAATCATCGGCGCAGAATAGGATCAATAGACTTTATTATCGGTGGAGAATAGCCTCGAGCAGAATCTGTGATCTGTAGCCTCCAAAATCGAAAGAAAATGGCATTTCGGAAAAATCGCCCGAAATCTGTGATGGTACCCCTTTGAAGTCTGCCAAAAATGGATCCGGAAGAAATCCGCCCAAATTGGCCCTGGATGGACTTAATCGTCGTTGAAGAATAGCCTCAAGCCGAATCCACCATCTTTATCCTTCAAAATCCAAGGAAAATGGCATTTCAAAAAAAAATTGCTCAAATAATTACCAAAATGCCATCCCAAAATATATTGGCCCAATTCGGTGCTTAATTGACTTAATCATCGCGTAGAATAGGATCAATAGACTTTATTATCGGTGGAGAATAACCTCGACCCGAATCCGTGATCTGTAGCCTCCAAAATCGAAAGAAAATGGCATTTCGGAAAAATCGCCCGAAATCTGTGATGGTACCCCTTTGGAGTCTTCCAAAAATGGACCCGGAAGAAGTCCGCCCAAATTGGCCCTGGATGGACTTAATCGTCGTTGAAGAATAGCCTCAGGCCGAATCAACCATTTTTATCCTTCAAAATCCAAGGAAAATGGCCTTTCAAAAAAAATTGCTCAAATAATTACGAAAATGCCATCCCAAAATATAATCGCGCAATTCGGTGCGTAATTGACTTAATCATCGGCGCAGAATAGGATCAATAGACTTTATTATCGGTGGAGAATAACCTCGACCCAAATCCGTGATCTGTAGCCTCCAAAATCGAAAGAAAATGACATTTCGGAAAAATCACCCGAAATTTGTGATGGTACCCCTTTGAGGTCTGCCAAAAATGGACCCGGAAGAAATCCACCCAAATTGGTCCTGGATGGACTTAATCCTCGTAGAAGAATAGCCTCAGGCCGAATCCACCATCTTTATCCTTCAAAATCCAAGGAAAATGGACTTTAAAAAAAATTGCTCAAATAATTACGAAAATGCCATCCCAAAATATATTGGCCCAATTCGGTGCTTAATTGACTTAATCATCGGCGCAGAATAGGATCAATAGACTTTATTATCGGTGGAGAATAGCCTCGAGACGAATCTGTGATCTGTAGCCTCCAAAATCGAAAGAAAATGGCATTTCGGAAAAATCGCCCGAAATCTGTGATGGTACCCCTTTGAAGTCTGCCAAAAATGGATCCGGAAGAAATCCGCCCAAATTGGCCCTGGATGGACTTAATCGTCGTTGAAGAATAGCCTCAAGCCGAATCCACCATCTTTATCCTTCAAAATCCAAGAAAAATGGCATTTCAAAAAAAATTGCTCAAATAATTACCAAAATGCCATCCCAAAATATATTGGCCCAATTCGGTGCTTAATTGACTTAATCATTGCGCAGAATAGGATCAATAGACTTTATTATCGGTGGAGAATAACCTCGACCCGAATCCGTGATCTGTAGCCTCCAAAATTGAAAGAAAATGGCATTTCGGAAAAATCGCCCGAAATCTGTGATGGTACCCCTTTGGAGTCTTCCAAAAATGGACCCGGAAGAAGTCCGCCCAAATTGGCCCTGGATGGACTTAATCGACGTTGAAGAATAGCCTCAGGCCGAATCCACCATCTTTATCCTTCAAAATCCAAGGAAAATGGTTTTTCATAAAAAATTGCTCAAATAATTACGAAAATGCCATCCCAAAATATATTGGCCCAATTCGGTGCTTAATTGACTTAATCATCGGCGCAGAATAGGATCAATAGACTTTATTATTGATGGAGAATGGCCTCGAGACGAATCCGTCATCTGTAGCCTCCAAAATCGAAAGAAAATGGCATTTCGGAAAAATTGCCCGAAATCTGTGATGGTACCCCTTTGGAGTCTGCCAAAAATGGACCCGGAAGAAATCCCCCAAAATTGGCCCTGGATGGACTTAATCGTCGTTGAAGAATAGCCTCAGGCCGAATCCACCAACTTTATCCTTCAAAATCCAAGGAAAATGGTCTTTCAAAAAAAAACATCGCTCAAATAATTACGAAAATGCCATCCCAAAATATATTGGCCCAATTCGGTGCTTAATTGACTTAATCATCGGCTCAGAATAAGATCAATAGACTTTATTATCGGTGGAGAATAGCCTCGAGCTGAATCCGTGATCTATAGCCTCTAAAATCGAAAGAAAATGGAATTTCGGAAAAAACACCAGAAGGACTGAAACGGTGTTCCCCATTCATGGTAGCTTCTACCCTTAGAGCTTCCAGGACGCTGTGGTAGCATGTAGATCATCACTCCAGGTTCTGTTCCTCTCTGGATCCCCCAGGATACCGTTGGTTTTACTTTTAGGTACAAGCGGCTTGTTTATGTGCTTACCTATTGATTAGTGGAGAAATTAATCTTCATGTTTAGAACTTGTGCAGTTGATAGTTATTTTGAGATGGTCTCTATCTTATAAACCATCCACCAAACGACTATAGCAGCACCCTGAAATGGGTATTCTTAATATTTTAACATAGTTGCATTTTACTAACTTCCATTCCAGGCTTCTTGCTCGAGGAACTTGAGAAACCTGAGCATGCCTGGAACCCGAATTCCGGGATGGTTTTCTGGAGAAGATCCGTCTCAGAGCGGCAGAGGAACTGCCGCGAAATCAAAGCTATTGCTCTCTGTGTTGTTGTGGTGTCTGTCTGAAGACAGTGCGAGATCCCTAAGCCCTTGAAGCGTAATTGATACAAAAATGTTTGAGATACAAAAATTTGAACTCACATTGTGACGTAAGAAACTTGTCTCTTTATATTCGAATGATCCATAGATTTGATGTGATGAAAGTCAATATATAACTGTGGAGTTTTATATCATTGTCTTGCAATCAAATAACAACAAAATGATAACTCCGAGATTAGAACATGCATGAAAAGTTTTAGGCGTCAAGAATCAACGTTTCCGTACAGTTCTCCTCATCAATGGCAGCAACACCAACTCCAAGGCTATCCATTCTGAACCTTACGCTTTTTCACTCGCATAAAATTAAGAGCTAACCACTTGTCCCCTTTAATCACAGCAGAACCAGCTGCAGAGAGAAAGACAATCATCGTAATCTTGGTGAGACTAGTCCCCATATCATAAGGCAGGACTTCAGAAACAAACTTATACGACTATAATAAGTAATATAACTTAATACTCGTAGTATAATAAAATATATGATGTTCTTAATACTCATGATATAATAAATACCACACCATATATACTTACCATGCTCACTGTAAGGATCCACATTGCCATCAGGTTTTATGTTCCAGAAAACCAATGCATCGCCCATCTTAGGCTTCACCGAAAGCCCTAATCTCTTTCTCTTCTTCTCCTTGCTACTGTAATCGATTGGTTTTGCAAAAGGGAAAACTGTCTCGCCACCTTCTTCAACATCCGACCTGTAAAATGCAAGTTGTGTGTCAACAGGACCGCTTGGTCCCAATAACTCGAGTTGTTGACAGAGATATTGAGTTACGAATCACATACAACTTACTAACAGGAGGATCGAGAAAAACACTAGTACGAGCTATAGTGAAACTTAAAGACCCGCGATCGCACGCCGCGATATCGTCTCACTTACAGGTACATAAGAATAGAAGCTGCGCGTGCTCCCCCAGTCTTGGTGTAGTAATCGTGCGGGCCGGTGTAGTCAAAGTGGGGCTCGAGTTTCTGCCCGACTTCATAGTGAACGACAGTAAGACGTTCCCCATTCTCTGCACATTTTGGTGGATTCCATAAGATGGACCAAGAAGCAACAGTAGATAGATTTACAGAGCCATATATATATATATATGTGCAGTGAACAAAAATGGAAGGTGGTCCAACTTTGCGCCTTACCTACAGGTATGAAGGTGAAATCAGCAATCCGCTTCTCAATGTCCCTAACGACATTGCTCGAACCTACAGGTGCTTGTGTGCTTGTACGTTTGCTGAAGAGGTTATCGCAAATTTGAGGAAAGTAGAAGCAGCAGCAGCAAGGCCAAAAAGGAAGAGCAAGTAAGTTGTTAAACGATATGGACTTGAAGTTAGTTAATTGTCCAAATACTATGTGGTAACAAATGAGCGTGGTCTCGGGAGTCAGAACACAAATTCTCTCTCAGATTATCTCGAAGGTCTGTCATACGATATGTGGAAGAAAGATTAACTAGCTAATAACTAACCTGCTCTCTATGCTCGTCAGAGTATCGAGACTAATAAGCTTCGACCTCACCATATGAGGCTTGGCCCGACTGATCAAGTGCTCGCACTCCGTCTTGCTCTGCAGCAAGAATCACTCAAAACAATTCAGTGGCGACTAACCAAACAGAATAAGGTAAAGGAAATTGAAACTGAAATTGAAATTCGGCCGGAAGACCGACTCACGAGGAAATTGTGGTAGATGAAGGCACGAGGCTCCCAGGATATTAATTCAGCCCAACACCTCGATGTCTGATTCTCACCGGCGGTGCTGCGAGCCGGACGAAAAAACAGAGTGAGAAGCAAAAGAAAAATAACAAGTAGACTGACTGGTCACGAAACAGAGGAGACTTGAAGAAAACAGAGAGAAACAGGGGAGGAAAAAACAGAGGATTTTTTTTTTACATATTGTTTCTGGGAATGGAGAGAATCCCACGGGCTAGGAGAAACTGGTGGCGAGAAGCGAAGCGGTGCTTGAAGCGGGTGCCGGCGATTAAGTTCCTCCACCGCTTGCAGACGAGCTTGCAGCGGCCGGCGGATCTCGGGTCGGGGAAGCTGCGAACCAGAATTTCCACCATGAGGTCGTCTTCCAGTTTGGGGAACTGCTGCTGCGGGGGTGGTGGTGGAAGCTTGTTTGCTTTCAAAGCATCTCGGCGTTGCTGCCTGAGATGCGTTGCTAAGAGAGAGCCGCAAAGTAGAAGCGGTAAGAACCAGTACATCTCAATAACTCGAATAACGCGCGAGAGCTCAAGGAAGAGTAGCAGACGATTTGATGGGAAAGTGAACCCTTTTGTATCAGAGACTTCCGCCTTTGTTTGCGTTCTCCTACTCCTCATCGGATTAGAATCTACTCGTTCTCCTAGTACAGTTCGGATTAGAATCTAACACTTGTAAAAGTGGGTGAATGACTACGATTATCCCTATACCTCTGATTATTTATTTACAAGTAAACTGCGCATGGGTAAGGTTATTCACAAAGTGGGCGAATAACCATATCCATGCACCGTGTATTCACAAAATTCACTTGTATAGTCACTAACCAAAAAAAGTTAATATTTTGCTAACCACACTCAACCAACTATCTACCATGTGTATGGTTATTCACAAAATACGCAGTTTAGTGAGGTTTCTGTGCACCTGCAATCTGGGGAAAAAAAAGCTTCCACCCCTAGTTCATCTTACGTACTACCAAGCATTATCGTCATGGTACGTAACTGACTTGTGCATCAAGATGACATCCTCGTCGGCATCTTGTTAGTGTAACTGACGAAATCTTAACGGTGTTAAAGTTTTTAACGAAAATGGCTAAATTTGTCAAATATGTTTTCAACATCTGGACATTTTGTGTATTTGTTATTATTGTCACAAAGTCGATAGTCATGACTATACAAGTGAATTTTGTATAAAAATAAATATAAAAGTTGATATAATTTTGAATAGCACGATTAGTCTGATTTAACTATGAAAAATATTATAACTTAAACGAAAGATATATGACCCATTAAAATTAATTGGAGAAAAAATAGTTGTCTTCCATAAATGGTAAGTATATGGTTATGCATAAATAGTAATATATACATGATTATCATTGACAAGGTTATACATCAAATAACTACCAAATTTACCCCTATACTAACTTTTTGACTTATACATCCTTCTTACCATGTAATTTATTTAGTTTCTTTTCACATTTGATTCATCTCATTTTTAGGTTTTATTATAATGAAAAATTCATATTGTCTAACTATCTTATTTTCGGTAAAATATCGCCACAACCTGATTGGTTTATTTCAACTTACAAGTTTGCATGAAATAAATTAATTATTACATAATTATTGCTGACAAGGTTATGCATATGATCCTGCTCCGAGCCTACCAATATTTCACATTGTGAGGTAAGGAACTTTTATCTTTCGTATTTCAATAATCCATAAATATGAAAGTCCATATATAACTGCAGAGTTAGCATCATTAAAATCTATCATTGTCTTGCAATCAAATAACAGTAAAAATCTTAACTCCGATATTAAAACATGCATCAATGTTTACGTACAAATCTCATCAATGGCAGCACCAAGGCTAAGCATTCAAGACTTTATACTCATTCACTCGCAGAAACTTAATAGCTAACCACTTGTCCCCTTTAATCACGGTAGAACCGCCTGAAAGAAAAAACACGATTCTGATAAGAAATATAACTCTATCAAATTACATAACAATACTCGTGGTAACATATAATATACTACTCGTAATACTCATACTCTTTAGGGACCACAATACTATACTTACTATGCATACTCGAAGGATCCATACTGCCATCAGGTTTCATGCTCCAGAAAACTAATGCATCGCCCATCTTAGGCTTCACTGAAAGCCCTAATCTCTTCCACTTTCTACGGTAACTAATTGGTTTTGCACCAGGGAAAACTGTCTCACCACCTTCTTCAACATCCGACCTGTAAAATGCAAAGTGCGTCAAGAGGAGATTGGATCCCGTGATAACTCGAATTATTGCGAGAGATTGAATTATGAATCACACACAACTTACTAACAGAGAGGATCGCGAAAAGCATTACGAGCTATACAAACGAAATAAACTCAAGGCCGCGATCGCGCGCGATGATCTCACTTACAGGTACATAAGAATAAGAGACCCAACAACAATTACTCAACTCATAAAGACATAAACCAACCACATTGCATGGAAGTTTAGATGTTAATGATTGTTGTCAAGCTACTATAAGCAAGTCCAACTTTCTACTGTGCTCGTTCTAAAACTCTTCTCTGAAAATATTCTCATTTGAGCCACTATTACAAATAGGATAGACAAGGGATCTTGTAGGCCTTCAAATATCCCATTATTTTTGGCATATGCTTGCGGCTAATTAAGATTATTATTTGCAGTCATAACTATGAAGATGACCTTAATCGTTTAGTTGATAAATCGTTTAACCGTCGGTTACTAACCATTTAACTGTCGGTTATTAATTAGCTAAATTTAGCTACCGGGAACTGACCGTTTACTGTTTAATCGGTTATCGCTGTAACCGTTAACAACTGCTTCCGGTTCGGTTATCGGTTACACCGTTAACAAGATAACTTTTTACCAGCCCTAATCATACTCATAATTTGATACTTTCACTAACAAAAAATTAGGGCATTGCATCACGTGGATTCATTGGGGCTGACTGAGATCAGTAGCAGAGGAAGATGCTTGATCAATTGACTGGTGAACGCTTTGATGAAGCTTAAGCATCCAAACACAGAGGAAGTTCGCCACAAATTTATTTGAAGTTGAAGCAAATAACTGTTCTCTGGGAGGAACTTTTTTTTTTTATGGGAACTACATATGTCATTTGAAGATGGGGAGACTAGGTTTTTCAAAAGACCGGTCAAGGTAGAGACATGACTAGTGAAAGCAATATATACGAAAGTAAAGCGTGATGTATTCTTCCTCAATATATTAAGTTCACCAAGTATAACGATGATGATGGTTTTGTTCATATTACATGAGAAATTTTAAACTGATATGATTTTTCAAATAGACGGTAGAATTGCCTAAAATATAGGTTTAGTCCGATACTAAAAATTCTGATTCACATTGTGAGGTTAGAAACTTGTCACTCTTCATATTTTCAATAATTCATAGATATGGAAGCCAATACAACCGTGGAGTTTTGCATCATTAAAAAATATATCATTGTCTTGCAATCAAATAACACTAAAATGTTAACTCCGATATTAGAAATTTAGAACATGCATCAATGTTTTACGTACATTTCTCATCAATGGCAGCACCAAGGCTACGCATTCCAGACTTTATACTCATTCACTCGCAGAAACTTAATAGCTAACCACTTGTCCCCTTTAATCACAGCAGAACCACCTGCAGATGACAAACACAATCCATCATCTTGGTGAGACTTCTCAAAACCAAATTACTTACACGATAAGAAATATAACTCTCTCAATTACATAACAATACTCGTGGCAAAATATAATATACTACTCGTAATACTCATACTCTAATAGGAAGTTGGAGACCACACTATACTTACAATGCTTACTCGAAGGATCCCTACTACCATCAGGTTTTATGCTCCAGAAAACCAATGCATCGCCCATCTTAGGCTTCACCGAAAGCTCTAATCTCTTCTTCCTCTTTCTACTGCAATTAATTGGTTTTGCAGAAGGGAAAACTGTCTCACCACCTTCTTCAACATCCGACCTGTAAACTTAAGGTGTCAAGAACCGATTGGTACGCAATAACTCGAGTTATCGGGAGAGATTGAGTTATGAATAACATACAACTTACTAACAGGAGGGTCGAAAAAGGCATTACGAGCTATAGCGAAACTTAAGACTGTGATAGCGATGGTCTCACATACATGTGCATACTTAGTAAAATACGGTACGGGTAAGTTACGTATAAAATACGTACGATATTTTACTTCATTTCCAATCTAGTGTTGCGTTTAATAGTATGTCAATATTTATGAAAAAAATATATAATTTAAGTATTAAAAGGACATCAATTAATGTATAAATAATAGTTAATTTAGTAATTTAATTAATTAAATACGGATATTAAACATAGTATACGGGTTTTATATGTATTTAGTATAGAAGCCATTAAATGAATAAAAAAAATTAAACGACTTGACAAATATACAAATACGAAAAATTTAAACGAAGTATATTTACTAACTATACTTACAGGTACATAAGAACAGAAGCTGCGCGTGCTCCCCCAGTCTTGTTGTAGTAATCGCACGGGGAGTAGTCAAAGTGGGGCTCGAGTTTCTGCCCGACTTCATAGTGAAGGACATGAAGACGCTCACCATTCTCTGCACATTTTGGTTTCAAACGTTGGAAACTTCAAATTAAAAAGAAGATTTACAAGGCCATATTATATGCACTTGAACAAAGTGGAATGGAAAGGTCCCAACTTTGTGCCTTACCTACGGGTATGAATGTGAAATCAGCAATCCGTTTCTCAATGTCACTAACGACATTGCTCGAACCTACAAATCCTTGTGAGCTTGTACGTTTGCTGAGTTTATAGGACAACCGTTAGTATTGGTGTGTCATGAGAGGAGCTCGAACACGCGGCGATAGTGACATACCAGTTCAGCTCTCATGTCACGTCATAAATAAAATTGGTCACAACAACCTGTGAAGTTGTTACGAGATGTGGTCTATAATACCATTTTACTAACGCTTCCCAACTCATGACATGGACTTGGAAGTTTGTACATTGTCCAAATACTACGTGATTAACAAATGAGGGTCTGGTTCGGGATTGTGTGAAGAAGAAGAAGTACTGATTCATTAACTAACCTGCTCTCTATGTTCATCCGAGTTTCGTGGCAGAAAACCTTGGACCTCGCCAATTGAGGCTTGCCCCGACTGATCAAGTGCTCGCACTCTGTCTTGCTCTGCAGCGAGAATCACTCAAAACCCACATTCAGTGGCGACTAACCAGTAGAATTAAGGTAAAAGGGAAATCGAAATTCGAACGACTCACCAGAAAATTGTGGTAGACGAAGGCACGAGGCTCCCAGGATATCAATTCAGCCCAAGGCTCCGATCTCCTTTTGTCACCGGCGATTCTGCAAGAACAGAGGGAGGGAGCAGAGCACAATAAATTACGAGATACTGTTCACAAAGGAGACCAGATAGAATGGAATCTAATCTAATTTACCTAATGTAGTTGTTGCTGGGGATATTGTTAGCACTACTGCTGGAGGGAATAATTCGACGGGCGAGGAGATACTGGTGGTGAGAAGCGAAGCGGTGAGTGAAGCGATCACCGGAGATGAGTGAGCTCCAGCGCTTGCAGACGAGCTTGCATCGGCAGGCGGATTTTGGGTCCGGGAAGCTGCGGACCAGAATTTCCACAATGAGATCGTCTTCCAGTTTGGGAAACTGCTGGGGCGGATCTCGGAGTTGCTGCCTGCGATCCGATGCTGAGAGGTAGCCGCACCGTACGAGTTTCAAGAACCAGTTCATTCCAATAATTGGAGTTTTCGTAAAGTCGATTTGATCGGAACAAATGATATCCGGGAAGACTTGGCGAATAAATATTAAGCCGTGGGGAAGAAGTGAATCCTTTTCCATTTAGGCTTCCTTCCGCCTTTCTTTGTCGTTCTCCTAGTCCTGATCGGATTAGAATCTACGCGTTCTCCAGGTGCAATTCGGATTAGAATCTATCACTGATGTTAAAGTAGAAGTGGTTGAATGACTACGATTATCCCTATAGCTCTGATTTTATTTATTTATTTATTTTACATATGCATCCTTCTTACAAAATATATTCAATTTCTTTTCATCTTTGTCAAACTCCCCAACTCATCTCATTTTTTTATGTTTATTAGTTATGATATTTGAAAAAGTCTATTGTCTCGCCATCTTATCTTCGTAAAATATCAACGGTTTTTGTTATTTGAGAAACTATGAAATATTAATAATAAGAAGTTAATGCCAAACCTGATTGGTTTATTTCAATTTACAAGTTTGTGTGAAAAGATTGATTGATATATGAGATTGCGTGGAAAAAATAGTTTATATATGTGTGAATACAAGTGAATCTATGAAATTTGGGTTGTAACAAATTAAGCCACATGATCTACCATTTGTGGAGGGTCTCGTCATTTCCTTTGAGTTTAATGAGTTCATCACATGCCTGACCCTATAGGAACAATTGAAGTTAATGCAGTTCGACCCAAAACTTATTTGAAGTTAAAACAAAGAATGATTCTTAGAGAGGAGTCTTTATTTTTTTATGCGAACTATACATGTCATTTGAAACGATCGAGCCTACCGGTCATAAAGTCTTCAAGAACAGGAAAGCCGACTGGAGGCTAGATTTTTTAGAAGATAGAAGAGCACCATTTTCCTTATGGGTCACAGTCAAGACAGGATGGCAAAAATTGTGAAAGCGCTATATACGAGAGTAAAACATGATGCGTTCTTTCTCAATATATCAAGTTCACCAACTATAGTGATACTGATTTTGTTCATGTGTCGGAGATTTTCAACTGGGATGGTAAGATTTTTCAAATATCATTTTTATATTAAGGGTTAATTGAAACAAAATTTTTTGACTGATCACAATGTGATGTGAGAAAATTGTCTCCATATTTCAATGATACTTAGATATGAAAGTTTATATTAACTGTGGAGTTTTACATCATTAAAATCTATCATTATCTTGCAATGTGATGTGAGAAAATTGTCTCCATATTTCAAGAAGAGGTCTCGCCGAGGTCGAGTCGGCTAGGGTTAGGATTAGGATTTTGGTCAGTAATCTATATATATTGTAAGTTTGGTGTTAGTCCGGGTTATCGAATAATAAAACTAAAGGTTTATCGACGCCCAAGTCGTTCTCCCGTTCGTGAGTTACGAGCAAACCCTTGGAACGTGGGTTACGTTCCCATCAGGAGGTCAGCTTGCAGAGGCGACGACCGACAAAGCAGAAGCAGGGGCGACGGAGCAGGCAACACCTTCTTTCTTTCTTTCTTTCTTCTTCTTCTTCTTCTTCTTCGTCTTCTTCTTCGATTTAAGCGGCCACGGATTTGGATTGGGATGAGGAAGGGGATAGAGATTGTTTGGTTATGGTTTAGAATTGAAATTGGATTGAGGGGTAAATATGTCGATTTGTTGCATTTTAGGGTGATAAAATTTGAATTTTAGGGTGACGAATAGCGATTAAAAGATTGAAATTGGGCTACAGTGAAAAAAAAACCATTTAAATTCACCACCAGATGAATCCGTATAGGAGAAGGAAAGCCCGCGCTTTATTATAAGACTTTCTATCAATTTAAGTTTTCTTTACTCCGTTGTTCCTCATTTCAAACTCGCCGCTGGTCTTCCTACTATTTACTGCCATGGCGACGGAGAGCCGCGCTCCCATGGACTTGACACGAATCAATGGCGTCCTTCCTTTTTGGGGAAGGAAAAGACGACGACCAAGTTTTCCCTATGAACCCTATCAGGATTCTCCTTTCAACAAGCTCTGGGACGGTCTCGTCGTCGAGATTCTTATCCGCCTCCCAAACCCTAAATCCGCCGTCCAATGCAAATCCGTGTGCAGTTGGTGGGCAGTCCTAATCTCCTCTCGTTCCTTCACCGCCCGATTCGTCTCCCACCACGAAACCACTGTCCTCGGCGGCGGCGGCAACGGAGAACCGCCGCTGATTCTCCCAGGCAATCCTCAACCGGTCCTAAATTTCCTCCCGGCGCCGGACGAAATCCGGAGGAAGCTCCGGGTTCTCTACTCGTCTCACGACCTGATTCTCTGCGGGACGGAGGAGAAGGTGAGGAATTCCGAAATGGGGAGAACGTTCGTCGTCTGCAATCCCTTCACGAAGCAGTGGGTCGCCCTCCCTCTGGCCCCCGAGAGGAAAACCAGGTACGAACGATCGATTGTCAGATTAGTCTTCGGACCCGGGAAGTTTTGTACGAATTTGAACCAAGGATTCATGGTAGTTTGTATGTATGTGGACGGGATTGATCTAGCGGCGGACTTCTTTTGTTCTGCCTCTGGGAAATGGTCTCGAGACGGGATGGCTTTCAACTGGAGCACCGGACGGTTTCCGGCCCGTAATGTAGCTTCATGTAAGGGCAAGTTGTACTGGAGGAACATGAATCGGCAAGTTGTTGTCTTCAATCCTCTCCGTCAGTGTTCCTTGCTTGTTCTTGATATCTCGAGGTTCTTCGTCGAGCGACTGATGTACTGTGACGTCTGGGCGTCACAGGGGGTTCTGCACTTGATCATAATCGAGCATCAGGGAACTGTTCGATCGAATGACGTCTTGTGTGTTTGGAGACTGGATGCAGGAGGTGTTGAGGAATGGAGGAGGCTATACAGGGTGTCATTGAAGGATATGTTGAGTGAGGTTCAGGGCATGGAGATGAAACGTGTGCTGGGTATGCATCCAAACAAACCGGAAATCGTCTTCCTAGAGTTCGTGCACATCGATGGGAATTCTCGTGTCTTGTCCTGCGATTTGCAGAAGCAGGAGCTGCAGTTCTTCACTGAATATCGGTCGTCGTCACTGGATTTCCTTCACTGGAACGTGTTTCAGCCGATCCTTCGTTGGCCTACCCAAATACCGAGTTACGAGGATTTGAGAGGTGGGTATGATGGAAGCAGCAGTTTTTGGGTCCAGAAGAGCAACAAATCAACTGCGGCGCGTTCAGAGGTAGGCAGTTTTCTACAAAGACTGCAACTTTAGAGTTTACTAGGTAGCCTTGGATCTTCAGATGGGAAAGAGAAGGAGATAGTTTCTAGAGGTTGTTTGGAAGTTATGGTTTGCTTCCTCTGGCAGGAACTCGTTTCCCAGGAAGTTAAATAGTTATGTTGCTAGATAGGTAATTACCAAGTCTACTTCCATTGTTGGACTGTAGATACCATTTGGAATTTTGGATATATGTACGGTCCTGTAACTTCACATTCAAAGATTAAAAGTAGATTGATCTTTTCGCCTAGTTAAAACTGAACAATGTGGGGTACAAAGTACAAACTCGTCGTCCTCAAAGTTTAGTTTCTCATTTCCCTTCATATCTGTCTAGTTGTCGTGTGTGAGGCACCGTTCTGCTTAAAATCGGACCAAATTGATATATAACGTACAGATGAACCATACTATATGAATGTGTTTTGCATAAAGAACCAACTCTTCGTTAGAGACGATGACGCTTCATTGGATTAACATTTGAGCTCAAAATTCTACTGCTCTTATAGTCTTATTTACAATGGGATAGTTGTTTTTACATGTTGACTTCGGGATTTCTTTCTAGCAAGCAACTACACAAGTATGCAGAGCAAAATGAGCTGTAACAGGTGGTCCTGGTCCTTTTTTACAGTCTTCTGAGGAAGTTCCATGGTCCTGTTCCAGTCCCCAACCTGCAAAATCCATGAAGATCAATACCAATGCTACCAAAAGAGAACTTAAATCTAAAAGTAGAATATCAGGGACACTAGGGGAATAATCAAACCTCCAGAAACCAGCAAAAGCTCTGAGGCTCATATAGATGGTAAGAGCTATCCAGAGGCCAATGAACTTGTAACTTGCAGACAGAAACAGCAAACACCCAATGCTGAATATGGCAACCAGAACCTGCACAAATGACAATATATATTCCCTCACATGGGTCAAATTTATGCCCAGTGAGCATTCCAGCAAAGTAATTAGTAACTTGGGAGTCAAGGCACGAGGGAGTCAAGGCACGAGAGAGTCATGTCAGTAATACCATTGAATAGGCAGCATAACCGAAATCTGATGCTCCGAAATTGACGCCATCGAAGACGAAAGCCAATGCGTTGATGGGTTGAGTCCCTGCAACAAACTGATGTTCAACAGAAAAACAAACCATTTTAGTCTCAAATGATATGTAACATTTCTTTCTTGTTTAAAAGCGGAGGGAGGGGAGTACCGGGATGCCTATGCCAATCAGGTGAAGAACATCAACATCGTTTGTGAATATCCGCGCTCCGAATGTCAGCCCCAATCCAAGCACCAATGCCAGCACCAGACCTAGAAGCCATCCTAGCTGCAGTACTCTAGATGCAGTTGCTGTGGCCCTCTCGAAGTCTTTCTGAGCAAAAGCACCTGCGATTATTGCCTGAGACACACAAGTTAACATGAAAGAATCAGCGAATCTGAAATTAAAGAGCTATAGGCAGTTAGGCACTGCAATGAAGAAATGGAGATCGAAGGAAAGCTATTTTTTCCTAACCTGGCCAGCCACGGCCAACCCATCAGCGAGGAGTGATGTGGCCATCCAGACCTGCAAGCATATCTGAAATGCTGCCATGGACGTTGGACCTTGTCTTGCAGCCAAGGATGCAGAAAGAGTAACACAGAATGTAACAGCCACTACCCTCATCAATAGCAGAAAGCCTGGGAAGAATTGTATTCAGGTAACGAACCAGAGAGATTTGGTTGAATAAAAAAAATGCATTAGAAGCCTGGAAAATACCATTTTTGAGGAACCGGCCAAATTGCAGATGCCTGATGCTGGGTGGTACTAGATCAACTTGTGCAATCAATTTCCACAGTAGTATGATTGAGATCAGGTACCTGTAATCAACATTGATCTGAGAATCTTACTACAAGCAATGGAAAGATAACAACAGATGTATAACTATACGGATCAACTCACTGCGATATGATGTGGGAAATGGCGGCACCACTGACCCCGAGACGGAAAACAAACATAAGTATAGGATCCAAAATGATGTTTGTGACATCACCGGCCACTATGGAAAACATGGTAATTAATAACAGAAAGAGAATTAGTATGAAAGGTGACTAACATGAACAAAGATGCTGCAGAGTTCCAAAAAGCCATACCAGTAGCATACAAAGGGGTTTTCGTATCCTTGAAACCCCGAAAAACACCTTGCATTGCTAAGGAGAGGAGAATCGCAGGAGCACCAAGCGATCTCAAGGTCAAGTATTGTTGTGCAGGAGCTAACATCGGCGAGTCCTGTTACAGAAATAAAGAAGCCAAAGGTTGACCTTATGATATTGATCACAAGGGGGCAAATACAAATCTCTTTGGTTCTCAAAATGAATCTCTAGTATCTTGTTTCAGAAGCTAACTAATGTACTCACAGATTTGACCCCCATGAAGTTGAGAAGTGGTTTTGCAGCAGAAATGAGGAACACAGTTTGGACAAGGCCAAGAATGGCACCAATGACCAGAGCTGATGAGGCAGAAGGAATATGTCTTCTTTCATTTGTGACCTTACCAGTCGCTACCTCAAAGCTGCTGACATCTCCAGAATTTGGCGGTTCACCTATGAAAAACGAAAACAATAGCAAGAAAAGATGTAACTTGAGTTAGAATTCATTGTAGGTTGGAAACAAAATGGTGAGAAGAAGAATGGTTTCAGAACATGGCATAATACCATTTTGTGGTATCAATTCTTTACTCTCATTGGTAGTAACTAAGCCGGTTTCCAACGACTCGCTCTCTTCTGCTTCTGCTGCCACTTTCGCCATCACATCTTCCTCGGCTACAAACGACGTTGTAACACTGACTAGTGGGAAGATCGCAATCCTCGAAACTTGATTGAATAAAGCAATGGACACTCCAACAGCAGCAAGTTCTACAGAACCTGATGAGTGAATTGAAAAGCAAAGTTCCAATGAGTTACCAAAAAATGAAGAAAGATTCAATTTCATAGAAGATCATACCTATTCGGCCAATGAACGCTGTATCAACAAGAGAAGCAATGGGATCAGCTGTCAAAGCCATAGCAGCTGGCAGAGCTATTCGAGCTATCTCTAAACCGAGCTCATCCAGTTTAAGTACCAGCCTGCAATCAGCAGCCATCAACACACAACTGAAGACCTTGATCCTACATATTAAAAGTACTGCATAAAGTGAAAGGGACTGAAGCACAAACAAAGTACCTAAAATCTTTGACAAAAACCCAGAGAGGGAGTTTTGGCTTAGCCATAGATGGAAATGAAGGATCTGAATCAGCCATCATTTGAGCCAGCACCTAGAGAGTAGAGACCCACCACCAAAAAGCTCTCCTCTATATACTAAGAAAAGAAGAGACAGGAGATTAGGCTGGGATTCTTAGATTACTTAATCCAATAGAACCAGTAAGGGAAAGAACCATCACTCCGCATTCCTGCCTAACATAACTGATTACTCACTTTCCAAAGTACTGAGATGTATCGAATTCCCAAACCAATACGTTATAGAAAGTCCACCAAATATAAAGCAAGTTTCAGGCTTTCAAGAGATGAAGAGACTTGAGAGAGAGTCACTCTTACCAGAGCTCAAAAGCCACTGTTTCTCTCTCCCGACTAAACTGTCGTCGCCATAATAAGGACAGTTCGGTTCCCTTAGTTGAAACGAAAGAAAGGGAAACGTACCGAACAGATTTCAGACCCTTTTTCTGAAGAAGACAAAAAGTGGTTTTGTTTAACGTTTTATCGCCATGCAATCAAAGCCCTTTTTTTTCAACCCACCTGCTTGAATCGGCGAGGTTTGTTGTTTTGTCAGCAAAGGTTGCAACTTTGACACTTCAGAGCAGAAAAACGGTGGAAGACCCAGCAGAGTTGCAGAGAAATAAGTGTGTGGGAAATCTGTGGCTGATAAAGGGAATTGTGTATGTGGAAGAAAAATGAGAGGAAATGTACCAAACCCAGAAATTGAGATAACTAAAAGGAAAAGTTTCCATGGAAAGGTGACTAATGGGGAATGGTTGGCCAGTGGCCACTAATCGATTCAAAGCAGTAGAGACGGGGAAGAACAGTGGGACTATGACATGACAAAACAAAACGAAAAGATGTTTAGAAAAAGATGGGAATGAATCATCCAAGTGGCGTGATTCGATTGCAGAGACTGAAACGCCATTACTGATGATTAATAGTATCTGTTGAACAGTGGGGGAAGCTGAAGATAAAATTGTTTGCATGCTTAACTAAAAGAGCTGCGAGTGGCTTCCAAGTGTGCCTGATGATTGATGAGTCATTGAGCCAAGTTGGCCACCACCCAAACCGCTAATAAATAACAACCCACATTCGAATTCGATGCTCTTGAACCATAAAGTAGCAATCTTTCTACGCAAAAAAGCAACACAAGAAGTGGAACTGGTGGCGGTGGCACAAGGTTCCAATGGCTCGACGGTGGCCGGTCCTTGCAATTAGTTGTTGTGAGTGATGATGATGATAGTTCAAGTCATGGCACATCTCGAATTGAGATGGTATCAAGCAAGTCGAATAGAGATCGTATCAACTATCAAGTAAATCGAATTATGATATAATATCAATCGATCAATTACAAATAAGATCATCATGATCAAATAAGTTCAATATGATTATACAACTATTGATCATAGCTACTCCTAGATTTGAGATAGCATCGGGTTTGTATTTTGTAACGACGAACATTAACCTCGGAAAAAATGTTTACTTGCTTACTTTTTCCCCGCCAAACTCATCATAAGAAAGCAAGTCAGCCAGTTTCTGAATAGGCCTAACAAATGTCAAAGGTTCTCGAGTTACAATAAATGTCAAATTTCCCCTTCTCTAATGAAAAATTTGGCAAATTCGTATCCTCCCAAAATCTCATATTGCAATTCCAACATTTACCACCTAGTAACTACACCCGCCAATAATAATATCATCAAGCAAAAAACGAGGCCAAAGAATCAAATTCTCAGCAAACCACCATTCACCTAGTGGCTGACAAAAAGAATCGACAAGTTCATGTCTTTGAGTCTTTCTCGTCTTCTGTTTACCACAAGCCGAGGGTCTTCCACCAGAAGCCGCCGATTCCGAGCCAGATGGCGATGTTGACGATGGAGATGAGGAATCCGTATCCCCACCACTGGGCCAGAGGGACGTAGCCAGCGCCGTAGAAGACGGGCGCCGACCCGATACCGTAGTGCGTGAGTCCTCCCATGAGGTTGGAGAGGAAGGACAGCACCATGGCTCCCATGTAAGGCGGGGTTCCCAGGGCGCTAGCCACGGACAAGAACGCGGTGAACATCGCACCAATGTGAGCCGCGCCACTGGCGAAGAAGTAGTGGGAGTAGAAGTAGAGGAGGACCAAGATGCCGAACGACGCCTGCCAGGAGAGCCCTAGTCCACCAACAACCTGCACAGCAAGCAAAAAACAGAATCCAGAGTCAGGGAAGCGTTAATTATTCGACAATGGTCAGTGAAGACGGATGCTGTCGATGAGAGAAGGAGAAGAAAGGCACGACGAACCTTGACAACGGTTTGACTGAACCAGGAAATGAGGCCGTACTTGTTGAGGTACCCTGCCATGGCGATGAGGGCTGCAAACCACGTCAGGGTATCCCACGCTACTGACTCGGCTAAGCATTCTTTCCATGTCACCACACCGGAGATTAGGAGGACCGACAACCCGAGAATAGCAGCAGTCACAGCATCGATGTTCAACACGCCACCAAATATCCAGAGGCCCACCTTCATAAGAGAAAAACCAAAACTTGATCAAGGCTCCTAGTTACCAGAGTGCACTATAATTGTCAATGCTAGATTGCTGATCACAGAACTATGGCCTCAACAATTATCCATCATTCCTAAAACTGATTCGCTATAGCTAGGTGTAACTAAGATTCAATGAAACAAGATTCTGAAATGCAGCAAACAATCACTATATCCCATCTGAAATGCTACTCTCACTGAAGCCTACAAGTAAAGCACTAAGCTTTTATACAAGTGAACTAGAGCAAAAGCAAGAATCAATGAGGGAATACCGTGACAAGCAGAGTTCCAGCCATGATGATCTCATTCTTGGTCATCGGCCCCATCGTCGCCAGCTTCTCCCTGGCCAATTTGGGCGCATCAGGGCTGCTCTTGATCGTTGGCGGATAGACGATGTACAGAATCAATGGGACGACGAGCAGGGAAACCAGTCCAGGGACGAAAGCAGCCTTAGCCCAATCAGTCCACCCAATCGTCTGCTTAATCGTATTCATAGTCAAATTGACACACAACGGGTTAGCCGCCATGGCAGTCAAGAACATCGCCGACGAAATCACCGAGGTCTGGAAACAAGTCAACATCAGCCAGGAACCAAGCTTATGCTCCGTCCCGTCGCCCACATTGCTACCGCAGGCGACGCAGAGCGACTTCACGAGCGGGAGAAAGATCCCCCCTGCTCGAGCCGAGACGGACGGGATCGCCGGGGCGAGAAGCGCCTCACTGAAGACCAAGCTGTAACCTAACCCTAGGGAAGAGGATCCAAACAGGGAGACGAATTGGTACGCGATTCGGTTACCTAGCCCGGTCTTGATGAACCCGCGGGCGAAGAAGAAGGCGAGCGCGATAAGCCACGGGATCGGGTCGCCGAAGGCGGAGAACGCGGCGGCGAAGGGGAGGGTTTTGGTCAGTACGGAGGCACCCAATCCCATCAGCGCGACGGCTCCGAGCGGCAGGGGCTGGGTTATGATTCCGACGATCGTGGCGAGGAAAATTGCGAGGAGCTGCCACGCCTGCTTGGTCACTCCTTCCGGTACCGGGATGAACCAGAGAATGACTCCTGTAGCGATCGAGGCCAGCAACGGCTTAATCGCCGCCCCCTGCCATGGCTGCACAGGTGCCGGCGCGGGAACTGAAGCTGAGGACGGAGCCTCGGAGGAGGCCCGGATTCTGAAGGCGCGGGAGGCATTCGATTTGAGAAGGCAGGGGGAGAAGGAGAGTCTTCCTCCGGCGGCGACGGAGGAGGAGGAGGAGAGGGAGGGGAGGCGGGACGAGAGGCGGGCGGCGGATCTGAGAGTGGGAGAAGGGAGGCGGCGGGATTTGAGAGAAGGGAGGGAATTGAAGGAGAGGGAGCAGGAGGAGGAAGTGGTCAAAGCGAGAGACGCCATCTGGCGGTGGCCGCAGCGGCGGCGCGGCGGCGGAGGTTCAGATGGGGAAGAAAAATGGAAAGTGAGGGAGAAGAAGCTGATGTGGGGTTCAGTCCTATTGGCATTTTTTATACATGACTTGGAGAAAGGGGAGATCTGGACCGTTGGATGGGAATGATCGGACGGTTGACCGTGGACTGGGAATATACGGCTGGCAATTTACGCCCTGAAGCCTCGTTGATACCGCTAGGTGGGGTCGAAATCTCCGTCTCCAGATCTTCATTTTTTGTTTTTGGAATTTATTAATTTCTAAGGAAAGTTTAATTAATTAATAATTAGCCTCGTTGATGCCAACTTTAATTTATAATTAGAGGAGCTAAATATGTGTTAAAGAGAGATTATGATACTGAATTGATATTTTAGCGGTAATCAGGCAACGGCGGGGAGATGGGGATTCCACGCTGGCGGGTGGTGACACGACGGCAGCCACGTGAGCACTTTGGGTGGCTGACAGCGTGGAGGAGATCGAGAAGGAAATGAAGGGTTGACCAATGCAGTGGCAGGGCTTTTACGTGGCGGGAGGTGATTGGTGGTGGAAGAAAAGATGGGAAGGAGTGGTTTGTGTGGCAGAACATAGGCCAGGGAGTCTCTGGGGTCAATTACAATGATAGCCACTGAAGTTTGAAGTTATTGACAAAGTGACCATTGTACTTTAACATTTAACAAATGTACCACTACAGTTTGTATAAGTTAACGAAACAATAGGTTAGCATGCTAACCATAAGGGTTTAGCATGTTAAACATGAGTTTTAGTAGTACTGTCATTATATTTGTTGTTGTAATTGTTGACTTTTGTAGTTGTAGGACTACACTACACTCGAACGTAATCATAATTGTAGTCTTTGTTTTTCCTCTTTCAATTATCAGAAAGCCTTTTTTGACCGAGAGCTCTTCTTTTTCGAATTTCACTGACCCCATATGTGTAAGCTCGCATTGTATTCTCATATTTAGTACATGTGCAAACAAAAGCACTTATGAGTTGACTGGCGTCGCTTGAGGGGGTGTGTGAATTGTGATAGTGAGCGGTATAAGATTTATTATCGAACCTCTCTCAACAACTCGGGTTATTGAGGCGAACTGGTCTATTGCCCCCACAAAAAACATGTTAAACATAAAATTGGTAGTGAGAGCTTAGTAGTAACTTAAAAACATGGTGACCATTCATGCCAACGACCCAATAATGATTCGAGAAGCTGGAAGGGACAAGGCTACCCCATGCTATGGCAATATGTCATATGTGGAACATAATTTGGAGCCACACATAGGATCAAAACAAAAACACAGAAGAGCGAAGAAAAGAAAACCCAACCACGTGCCTTTGATTTCGGCTCTAAATCCCCACTGCTATAAAGAAACAGAGCATGCACAAGCACAACAGGACAGCTCAAAACAACGTACGGACAAAACCAGAGAGCGTCGATCGGCAACTTGTGGCCATGATGGCCATTCAACCAGCAGCAGCAGAGGACGAAGTAGAAGAAGAAGCAGGAGGAGAAGGGCAGTGTCCTTTGAGGCGAAGAGGCAGATCTCTGACTACTTGAAATGAAGAAGACAAAGAAAGAAGGCCTGCTGTAGAGTTGGGGACTTTTGGTGGCTTGAGGGGACCAACCAACCGAGAAGGAAGGAAAGAAAACGGGAAACCGCAAGTGAAAGTGACGAGTGATGTGGGTTAGCATGCCAAAGTTATGGTATGGGAAAATAGACCAGACCATACCATTAGAAAAATCGTGGTCCAAATTGTACCGTACAGTTTGATTCGGACCGTAGACCGTGAAGTATGGTCTGGTTCATGGCCTGTATTATTTTATGATTTAATCTCTTGGTCTGGTCTGGTCTAGACCGCGGTTTACCGGACCAAACCATAGACCCAACTGACTTGTCAATACGTGTTAATAGCTCATTCGACCACTCTCCAAACTCCCACAACGACACCTAAGTCTCAACCTTAATTTTGTGAATCTCTTCCCTCCTTCATTCACAACCACATTTAACCACATAGTAGAGATAATCGTGTCTCCATATGACATTATGTTAATGTTTATGACATTATGGTGCAAGTTGGGATGTTTTTACTTTGTATCTTTGTTATGTAATAAGATTTAGAGTATCAAAATTATTCATACATGTTAGGAATAATGTTTTAAGGCAAATAACATTTTTTTTCTTGGTTATTGGTTCAATTTTTTTTGTGGTTGACTAAAGAAATTATTCATTTTTCGTTGAGTGTGGTCTATCTGGACCAGACCAGACCGAACCAGACAGCACAGGTGTGGTTGGGACCGGACCGTATGGTCTATGGTCTACACTTTAGCCTCTCGGTCTGGACCGTAGACCGTATATATGGTCTGGTCTGGACCAGACCGCACCGTTTCGCAGCCCTAGTCTCACTCACGCCCTCGTACTTGGCCTTTGGGCTCCTAATCTAAGCCTAGTGAATTGGTAGACCAGCCCCACTAATTGTGGGCTTTTTTTCCTCCTGTGCTAAGGCCCACGAAGAAACCCATATTGGTATGCGTACACTCGTTCGCTACTCCTCGATCGTTCTCTCTCAACTTGTGGTCTCGGACTCACTGTCTTATACTTTGCCTTAGGGCCCCTAATCTAAGGCCAATGGAGTAGGCCAGCCCCACTAGACTTGCGGGCTTTTTTGTTTTGGATTCTCTTGAGTGGAGAGCCCATAAAGAAACCCATATTACAGAGTACGCAGTACGGCTCCCGTTCACTCATCTCTGTTCTTTCTGAACTTTTTTATTCATGGTGGTTGGTTCAAGCCCAATGGTTAATACTACATAATTGGTGGTTTGATTTTGTGTTTCTCAAGGGTCGTTTGGAAGTTGCGATTGTTAAATAGATGTATTGTTGAGAATGCATGTATAGTATTATACATGTATTGTCGAATTTGATACATTGTAGAATACAACGTTTGGTATGTGTGATTGTGTATGTCGCATCAGCTAAAAGCTGAGACAAAACAATCTCAACTCAACTATCTCAACAATCATAACTAAAAGTTGAGATATAACAATCACTCAAAATGAGTGATAGTTTCTATCACATCATAGAAACAATCCATGTATTGTTTCTGCTAAAATAAAAAAAATGCAGTGTAAATAATACATGACAATCTCAACAAAACTATCGCAACTTCCAAGCTGCCCCTTAATACTCTAATAGAAAATGTAATGGCATCATCAAATGACAATGGTTTAACGTGCACCAATGAAACCTTTTACATCCTCTTGACCTGCGTCCTTGCGGACTATGCCAAGTGGGTTAGGGCGTGCAGTGAACTAAGCGATATACTTGAATCGTCCACTAACAAAGAGCTTATTACGAGGATCTTGTAACTAGTTTTATCGCTAGAACATAATCTTATATAATATACAATATTGGATGAGAATACCAATCTGAGGGTCAATTTTGATTTTTCAGGCTTGGTCTAATTTGTCTTGGCTCATTCCGGTAGTGCTTAGATTTGGTTAGAAACTGGGGTCTTTGTTTCATCTGTTCTCGCTCCATCATAATCTTATATAATATGCAGTATTGGATGAGAATACCAATATGAGGGTCAATTTTGATTTTTCAGGCTTGGTCTGATTTGTCTTGGCTCATTCCGGTAGTGCTTAGATTTGGTTAGAAACTGGGGTCTTTGTTTCATCTGTTCTCGCTCCATCATATCCCATTCTTCACATGTTGTAGTGTGATTTTCTATTACACTTACTCATATTTATTGCTTATCTTATATATCTATTTTATCAACTGCGACAATTCCAATTGAAATGCAAGCTTCATTTCTCAAATAGTTTAAGTTCCTCAGCCATGTAATTTTCTCACTTCCTCAATATCATTCAAAAAATATTTCCCCTTTGTATAGATATAAAAGCAGCTAGAATGATTTCATTTTTCCCCCCCAAATGTGTCAATCTACTGTCAATATATGTCTTTATTGGTATTACTTAACTCTCATTTGGCACTCAACCAATATGGTCATAGTATATGGACCAAAAGATGGTACATCAAGAGTTTCATCAACATGATAGTGTAATGAAGACTTAGATATTTTTTGAGCTAGCTAGAAGACCACAATTCTTGTTAGGAATTGAGTGTTTAAGTTAGGACATCAATAATTAGTGTAGGAAATAAGTGACCCACCACCATTGAAAAGAAACAAAGAGGAGTAAAAGGGAACAAAAGAGGCAGAAATCAAACCCCCTAATAATAATCATGTAGTTAATGGTAAACCGAACCCTCCAAATTTCCATATAAAAAATGATGGAGTACTACACTCACATGTATCATGTTAGTTATGCAACACAATAACAAACAATATAAAACAGAATATTACACAAAATATAAGATATGGGTCATTTGCATAAATGGTCAATGAACTTTGGGTCATTAGCAACATGATATCCAGACTTTGTGATGAAAGTTTGAAATACATAATACAATTATACAACAGTCACTTTATCTAGTTCTACTTATTAAATTACTTCATCAAATTAGTGTCCCAAGTAATTCAAGTTAGTGACAAAAGGCCTCATGGTCATGGACCCTAATTCGTCTATACGAGTTATCTATTCTAACAACAACCTCCATCTAAGTCTAATTAGTTACTCGCTCAAATTTCAACCGACGATACTTTAATTAAACTATTGTGATCTCTTATTCATGATGCTTCTTCCATGACTCATTAGAGGTCTATATATGATATCTTTTGATTTTCATTTGGATGAGTTAATACATTTATTTTGCACAAAGAAGTCTATCTTTATTGTTGGGTCAAAATTCAGATAGTCTTTCATCTTTATCGTCATCATTGATGGTTTTTACTAGTGCAAGGATTTGAACTTGCTAGCTACCTCATACAACTTACAACAGAAACTTCCCAAAATATTTTATTATTGAGTCATAACATGCTGATAACATTCCATGAGTGTTAGGATTCAAACCTCAAAACCAATCAAATTTTAACAACATAATAAGAACAACATCAAAAATGCAAACACATTTACCTGATTCCATTTTCTAAGTTTTCCAGTCAAACCTAATTCTCCTCGAGTTTTGAGTGTGTCGGTCGTTTCACCTACTCTTCTTATGTCCAACATTAACATGCTATTTTTATTTATTGAAACATTAACATGCTATTGATATTGTTGCATTATACATACTATTGCTAATCGACACTTCTAAAAAAAATAATAATATAATAATATATCATTATTGATGTGTCTTGAATCGAATTATCTGACCACTACTAGATAATAGGACACCCCTCTGCCTTTCATATACATATGCTTATTGGAATTATTCTTGTAATTAGCCTCCTTTCCACACTTAGGAATATCAATGGTCCATAACCCATGTACATTAACATTGACAAAGCTTGGTTTAGTGGCCAAGAAGCCGTCTTCCCATTGGACCATTCCACAGCCTCACCAACCAAAAGGGGAATGGGGCAATGTTAACTTATAACTGGAGTAACCTTCTGCCGGTAGAAACCAAAGCTTTGGCTAGAGAATAGTAAGCAGAAAGCATATTGGAAAAAAGTTGGAAACTTTGGAGTGCCCTCCAATTTTGCTCATTCATGTCTTATCTATATGTTATCTACCTGCCCTATATATCATATCTATAGGATCTCGGCACGAGTATGTTCATCGATCAAGAATCGAAGTTCCGTTAAAAAGATATGTTTTGTTATACATACATAACATCATAAACTGCAACGAAACTTGTTGAAATGAGGACTCAAAGAAGGCGAATATCTGTCAGTACGTAACATATAACAGAATGGATGATTCATTAAGCTAATCATCGTAATCTCTAACACAATCTCATGCTTAGTTGGGAGAAGAGAACTACCTTAATCTCTCACTAGTGAAGTGGGTTGTTGATCATCGAGAACAAGGTCAAAGTGTGGTAGTCTATCAACCGTCGAACTTTCAATAAGAGGGTTTATTGTTATACATTAATGACTTAAACTACAACAAAAACTTATCGAAATGAGTTCTAAGAAGACGAGACTTCTTCTGTAACACAATAAAATGAAAGATTCATTGAGTCAATCATCTCTAACATAATCTCATGCTTAGTTGTGAGAAGAGTACTGCACGCCTTAATCTCTCATATTAGTGAAGTGGGTTTGTTGCACTTGCTTCTAACAATGAAGGATCATGAAATGAGAATTGAAGTCAATGAATTATTGATCCCTCTCATTCTCTAAGCTAATATTATATGCCTAATGGCCGATGTGACACTGTATTTGCCTTTGATTTTGGATCCTAAGCTTACACCCGTACATAAACCCTGTCTTGCCACATACACAAAACTGAACTATGAAAAGTAAGCTAGAATCTGATCACATAATCCCTTTAATTAATGTAAATCTCCCTTTCTTAGTGGAATACTAGATTTCCTGGCCTATTTACCAATTGGAATATATGTGTAGATATTAATTATTACCATTCATTCCTTTTTTTTTTACCTTTTCAATGCTGCCACAGGATAGCTTTTCTTGACTTGCCTTCCCTGCCTTTCAAAACTTTTTGGCATCTAAAGTTTGAGCAAGTAAAACAATGGGGATTGTGGGAAGGAAAAACGAAAGAAGTAAAGAAGCACAATGATGCCAAACATGCATTCAGGTACTGGATAATGGATATGGATACAGGTGTGCTCAAATGGTCAAAGACTCCGATATTAATAATTGATTAAATCACAAGGTATGGTGAACATGTGTAAATTTTAATTCCATAGTTCGACTTTCGCTAATTAAGAGAGTGAATGATATAAGATTCATACTTGACACTCTTTCACGGACCAACTAGATCATGACAAGAGGCTCACCACAGATATAAACTACATCAACAATCACTCAAATTTGAGAACAATAAACCACCGAATTTCGATATTTAAAACATGTTTATGAAGTGTGGGAGAACTACCATAAATGTTTCATCTGTATAATAAGAATTTCACGCAATGTTGAGGGAAGGGTGTAAGGTATTGGTTAAGTACCATACATGAACATCTTCTAACAATTCGAGTTATTTGGACCAATTAATTTATGGCATAGTATCAGGTCTGTTTTGTTCTTTAGATAACGTGTTCAAGTCTTCACGACCTCCAATGTTAACCGTTGTATGTGGAGGCCTGTGCAAACCGCAAGCTCATGAGTCGGCTTTCATTTGAGAGGGCGTGTAAGGAAGTGAGACCAGTTGGTTTATAACTAAGGGGCTGGAGCAATTCTGGTTGATGAATGTTAAACTGAATTTCATATGAGATAAGATGAATCTCCCAAGCAAACTAATTAACTTTACGATCGATCTTTCTGCGACTGATGTATATGGAATTGGCAAGTTAGTTTGAATAATTGGAACAAACTTTAGTGACAAGTTTGTCAAACATCTCAGTTTAGTGACCGATTTGTTAATGAACAATGATGTAACTGGCCCTAATATATGTGGCATGCCTCTGTCACAGATGTTCATTATGTCAAAAGCCTTCAAAATTCCATTCTTCTTTTGGGAGGGGGGATTCTGATACAGACTTTTGCAATTGGTGGTTAGGGATGCCCGATTTGGGCATGGCTGAGTTTAGAGAAATCTCTTTTCTCCCATTTGCTTTTTTATCTTGTCCCACTGTGGACTGTGGGCACTCCAATTATACATGGAATGATGTGCCTTTTACTACTTGCCAATGGGGTGCAAGAAAGTGTTGTTTAACCCTTTGAGAAACTTACCATTGTGCAAATTGTAAATGATTCCCTTTTGGCCACAGTAAGTAAGTGATTCTGATTGCATTCTAGAAGATCAGAAATGAACAAGAAAAAGGTAGGAATGG